GTCCCATATGAGCAATAGCTGATATAAAATAGTACTTGTATTCTTCGACACTCATATTCCTTCCCATCAATAAATTATTTTAGAATAGGTACTATTTTGAGACTAATACACCTATTTTTTCCAGATGTCAACACAACACAGGAAGCAAATTGTACCTTCAAGACATACAGTCAGCACAGTTTACCTTGATGATTACAATTACCTTGGCACAATTTGAATCATGGTCACTGAAGCAGACCAAGAAATCCTGCACTGAAATACTCTGCCACAGATCTGCTGTAAGGAAACTTACAGGTTGAAGCAAACACAGGTGATTCAGAAAACCATGCTACAAAGGTCTAATTCAAAGGTTGATGAGTGCAGGTTACACTTGTCACAAAATATCTTTCATGCTAGTTACTTATATGTCAATGGAAAAAGTTTTACTGCCCAGTAATGCTTTACACAGAATATCACCAATGAAAAGAAATACATCAAGAGCTTCTGGTACTTGAATGACCCTGTTGTAACTGACGTAAGCAAGAGAGAAGAGCTGATGCTGCTCTAGGAATATTAACTCTGAATTTGTTTCCTTACAATGATGATTTCAAAACCTCATGTAATTCACTATATCAGTCAACATGTCTGTGCAGCTCTAAGAGATCAAAAACTTCATTCAGTCTTGGAAGCAAAGATAGTTCCCTAAACCATAATCCTAAAAACACCCAGGAATTTCTTAAGCACCTAAAGAAACCAAAGGAATCCTTTACTGACACTACTGTCCTGGGTTCAGCAGTAGCGGTCATTCTTCTGTTATTTCTTCTATAGACATAAAAATGGGCTCTAGGACTGGAAAGACAGCATCTCCAACATGTACCTTTCTTAAACCTGTAGTTTAGTAATGTTTCTTATAGTATCTTAAAGGTGGGAACCTGCAAGATACACCCAACACATAGTGAAATGAAAATCTGGTCTGTAAGGATTGTACAGGACAAGACTGAATGCTCTCTTATCTCCCAGGAAATGCTTCCCCCCCACCCAAAAAAAGCTGTGAAAAATATTAGATAAGTCAGCTGGCTCAGCAAGGACTAAGAAATACCCTGATAAAGAGCTAATGATATCAAAAGCAAAGCTCTTGGCTCCAGCTCACGGAAGTAATTACTCCCATCTGGGCACACAAACCCCCAAGAAGGGCTACAGTTTCACATGGCACAGGAAGACATTCACAGCCTTACAGTCTTTCTTTCACAGCTACACTGGCTGGGTGTACACCAAGTAATACTTTGGCCAATGGCTGAAAGTATACAAGGCTATAAACATGCTCATAGGGCACAGGTTGCCTGTCCTCCTCCCCATCAGTGCATGAAGGCAACGGAAATAGAGAACAAACTTGTTAAGTGGCTGTGCCGCTGTGAAATCCCACTGCTACAGGTGGGTCTTTGCAGAGCATTTGATTTTTTTTTCTCTAAATTGGAAAGACATCAATTTGATAGATGGACCACTCGGTGGATAAAGAACTGGCTGGATGGCCACATGCAAAGAGTTGTAATCAATGGCTCAATGTCCAGCTGGAGACCAGTAACGAGTGGTGTCTCTGAGAGATCAGTGTTGGGACTGGTCTTGATCAACATCTTGGCCGGTGACACAGACAGCGGGATTGAGTGCGCCCTCAGCAAATCTGCTGATGACACCAAGCTGTGAGGTTCAGTTGATACCCTGGAGAGAAGGAATGCCATCCAGAGGGACCTTGACACGCTTGTGAGGTGGGCTGATGCCAACCTCATGAAGTTTAACCATGACAAGTGCAAGGTCCTACAGCTGGGTCGGAGCAATCCCAGGCACAGCTACAGGTTGGGCAGAGAAGAGATTCAGAGAAGCCCTGTGGAGAAGGACTTGGGGGTGCTGGTTGATGAGAAAATGAACATGAGCCGGCTGCAGTGTGCGCTTGCAGCCCAGAAAGCCAACCGTATCCTGGGCTGCATCAAAAGGAGTGTGACCAGCAGGTCAAAGGAGGTGATCCTGACCCTCTACTCTGCTCTTGTGAGACCTCACCTGCAGTATTGTGTGCAGTTCTGGTGTCCTCAACATAAAAAGGGCATGGAACTGTTGGAACAAGTCCAGAGGAGGCCACGAGGATGATCAGGGGACTGGAGCACCTCCTGTATGAAGACAGGCTGAGGAAGTTGGGGCTGTTCAGCCTGGAGAAGAGAAGGCTGTGTGGAGACCTCATAGCAGCCTTCCAGTATCTGAAGGGGGCCTACAGGGATGCTGGGGAGGGACTCTTCATTAGGGACTGTAGTGATAGGACAAGGGGTAATGGGTTAAAACTTAAACAGGGGAAGTATAGACTGGATATAAGGAGGAAGTTCTTTACTGTTAGGGTGGTGAGGCACTGGAATGGGCTGCCCAGGGAGGTTGTGAATGCTCCATCCCTGGCAGTGTTCAAGACCAGGTTAGATGAAGCCTTGGGTGATATGGTTTAGTGTGAGGTGTCTCTGCCCATGACAAGGGAGTTGGAACTAGATTATCTTAAGGTCCTTTCCAACCCTAACTATTCTATGATTCTCACATATATATATACCTGACTAAGAAGTCAACCACAACAGAGCTTTATAAGGGGTTTCTTCAACAACCCGTAACATTTGGAAGAAGCCACCACACTTTGAAAAACACAGCAGTGAATTGTAGAGTAAGAAAAAGCATTTGCCCATTCTCACAAGTATAGTCAGGTCTCCTTTCATAATCTCAGAAGGCTGGAGTTGAGAAAGGTTTGCTTTCATTGGTAAAACTTTATTCTGCTATTTTTCCTGCTGACTGCTTGTTTTATGTGGGTGGGGTAGTGTTTTTATTGTTCTGGATTGCATTTTAATTGATGGCAGAGTGCCTGGAGTTTGGGATTGGCATCTCTTCCGTTGCTTTTGTTGAGATAAATAAATGTATTTCCCCTATCTTTTTTTTTTTTTTTTAAATAAGTACATGCCATACTCTCAACTGCTAAAAAAAAAAAAAAAAATCAAAAAAGAAAAAAAAAACCCACACCAAAACCCACCCAAATGAACCAAACAAAAGCTTTCAGATGGCACAAACAATCTACCAAACTCCTGCTGCAAGGAATTCGCCACCCAAAGGCCTCATCCCTGCTTATTACCTTCTGAAAACTCACAAAGTCCAAGCAGCAGAGACAGACAGTGGAGACCAGCAGTACTGGTCAGCATAATTCTGAGGAGGAGACTGAAGATTAGATTTTGGCCTCAGCCTCAAGTTATCATCAACTACAAGGATGGGAGCCCCCTAAGTGGGTAAGATATGTTGTCAAAAGGAAATAAGGCAGATCAAGAACAGCTTGAAAATGAGTTATTAAAGAGTTTGGTTCAGCACTGAACAGAGTTACTGAAGTGAATGCAACAAGGGAGAGAGGAAGTGAGGTGGTCTATAAAACCAGACAAGGTTATTAAAAAAATATCCAAACCAAAAACCCCAGCCCCCTCCCCAAATCTGCAAGAATAGCCTGACATTCATGAAAAACTCCAAAATCCCAAGTTTTTGTAGCAGCACCTGTATCAATACTCAAAACCAACAGTAACTAGCCAGCATTTAAAGCAAATCCAGAGCACTTTAATGGAAATATGCTGTTAATGATGCTGCCAAAATAAGCTGCTTTTAAATGTACAGAAACATTTGCTATCTATGTTTTCTGACCCAGTAATTAGAAAATTGCCCTGCTACAATCTGAGACAGAGGAAAAAAAAAAAAAAAAGTCCTTGTTTTTGCTCAGCTATTGATTCAACGCTTACTACAATAGTACTTGGCACTGCTATCACTCCGATGTTGCTCTGCTATTCCAGGGAAGGAAAAAACCCCAACCAAACCCCAACCCCAAACCACACACACGCATGCTCCCCACCCCAAACAAGCAAGCTGGAATTATTTAGAGAGAAATAAAGTGTCAGCACCAAGCTAAATTGTTCTCATTATCTGAAGAATTTAAAAAAAATACTTTAATATTACACTTGCATGAAAATTGTATGAGCTCTTCATGCCAGGCAGTGTTTCAGCGTGCTCCCCAAGTGCACACAAACAAAAAACATATGACAAACTGTTGTCTCCCAACTGATTAAAGTATTTCTTCCTGGCACAGAAAAGCACTTAGTTAACTACTGTGAGTCTGGGCCAAGAGAAGTATTCCACCCACTACTGAGCACAAAGTTCAAACCTGAACACAAATACGCTTCAAAACCATGCAGCTTCTGAAATACAAGAAAGAGTATGTCAGAGCAACTTGTTTTCAACCCTAAAGCTACTTGGTGAGTTGAAAGAACTGATAAAGACTTGGGTAAGCCCAACTATACTGTGTCTCTCCTGAACATGTTTGGAAAAAGTGGAATGTGTTAAAATACTTCTTTCCAAAACACTGTAACAGCAATAAAGCCACATCAGCCTAAGACACACATGGAATTAGGGAAATAAAAGCCTACATATAATGCTTAATATAGCTCAGTTTCTATTTTGTATTCATTTGTATGGCAAAGCCCTTCAGTTCCAGATACCCTAATTATCCAGAGAAGTGAGCCCAAAATGCTCAGTACATACAAGTAGTACAGACTAACACACCATGTAAGATGAAAAGTCCCTGTGCCTATAACAGTTTAAAAGAGTTGATAACTACGACTGGCCAAATTCCAAACATCACAATACACTAAAAATCTAGCAGTTTGTTCTATGGTTGGTGCAAAATCCATGATAAAATCCATTTTTTCACATTTTTTTTTTTAAACACACAACTAAACCAAGTTATTTGTACACAAGACTTGAAGTCTTATCAGAAGAACTTTCCATGTTTTGTGCCTTGATACTTAAAAGACAGGGAAAACACACTAAGAGCTACTTGCCCCCTTTCCATTTAGTCTCAATAAAACTCAGGCACTTGGAATACAGCTGCTCTTAAGAGCAGGTACATTAATGGACAGTAGTTAAGCTGAGAAGGGATCTTGTGTGCATTTTTTCTCCCAGACAAAGCCTACCTGTTTACTTTTTGCAGCCTTTGCAGGATTCTTGCTTCCTTTAGCACCCTCTGCATTTCTTAAGACATCAATGAAATCTTTCTTTGAAACAGATGACAGCAGTTTAGCACGCTGCCTCTCAGATCTCCCAGCTTTCTTCACCTTCTCATCAACGTTCTTTTGGTGTGTCCTGACAGCATTAAACAACTGCACAACTCCTCTGGGATGGGGAAAAACAAAACAGATTTTAACTCAAGTTGCCTTTATGGCTTCTAGCTCCCAAAAACAGCCAATCAGAACCTCAATTAAGAAGTAACATTTACTACAGCATAAAAGACTTTCAATTTTCATTCTTCCTTATCACTTATTGCTAGGAATCAATAACAAATAAATCCACAAGTAACTATTCAGACCCTGAAGTAAGCAAAGTAACACAGTACTGAGATAATTTTAAGAGCATTTTCATCCCCAGACACGTTACTTGTCCTAATTCAGCTATTAAATTCTTCAGACAAGATCATAAGAGCAGCTGCAGTAGAGGGACAAGGCGGATAAATGAGTAAGGAGACAGATATAGACAGTACATCAAGGTATTCAACTAGTTTTGTGACACCAAACTACCACAATGCAGAACAAGCAACTGAACTTGAGACATGGATGTGGTGAATCCTCTGTGGAGAAGGAAAAAACAGAGTAGCAGAAGCAACTGTTCTGCATTTTGAAAGCATTAAATTAACAAAATGAGGGGATTCAGCAAAGCACTTCTGTTAAGCAAACATTACATTCCCATCTAAATTTTTACTCTTTCATAAAGCTTCTGAAATCTTTTGTTGAACTTGATATTGTACAATGCAGACCTGTATATAAATCACTTGGCTCTTAGTAGGCACTTCTTAAAGAGTTCAATCTGATTGGAAACAGATTACCTGCACAGGCCTTTTCTTCCCCTTTTCCTCCTCTTTTTGTTATATATACGTATACAAGGAAAGCATTCAAAAAAAACTCTTACCTTGTGGCAATTCTCTGAAGATTTCTTTCTCTGTCTCGGTCTTTGACAACATCTGGCTTCACTCGGCACATCATTTCCCATTCCCGCTTTTTATCGAGCTGTGTTATAAATATTGTGACATGAAACAACATGGACATTTGAGAATGCAGCATATTTTGCTAGAGTATGTAGCAGGAGGAAAAGAAATAAAAGATAAATCAACAAAGCTCAGTTGGGTTTGAGAGTAAGGGGAACTCCAATATGGCGCTGGACAACAGGTCTCAGGCAAGTCTCTTTTATTGACAAACCAGGGGCCACAGTCATATCTCACAGTCACTTGCTTTTTGTAATAAAAACTAGGAAAGACTCACACCAGAGTGATACCTCTGGCTCAAGGCAAGCAAAGAGTCTAAAATAACATCAAATGCTTTCACACTGACTGCTACAGACAAAGAAATTATTCAGAGGTAATTTTCAACTACAAAACTTCTCAAGCTGATCACAGATAGCTATACATAATAAAATCCGGAGTCTATCAAGACAGGCGTGTTGCATTTTGAGCCTTGGGAATTTGACTTCTCCTGCTGAATTAATCATAGTACAGCTTTGTGACGAACAGTGACACATGGCAAAGACTACAATAAGCAGAACATGAGGAAGAGCACTAAGTGCCCATTACAGCAACTGTGTACAACACTGATTTTTTGTGTGGGTTTTGTTTGGGGTTTTTTTTGGAGTCTCTGTTTCAAAACCAAACTGATCCACTTTCCCATTTCCAGAAGCCACAATACCACCAGCTTTACTTTTGCTACAATAGGAGCACACTGTACTTCCCCAGAATCTGCCTCAGGAGTAAGGCAGTGAATTCTGGTTTTTCCCTCTTTTAAAAGTTTAAAACTCTTCTAGGCCTGGTGATGTTGCACTAAATCTATTTTATGCAAGAAGTCTTTCATGCAGTTTCAGAGCCCTTGTCTTTATAATTCCAGGCAGACTACTAGAATTTGTGAGTTTATGACCATGTTTTGGCCTTTGATAAAAAGAACTGCCCTATTCTAGCTTCCATCAGCAAGAAATTAATGGGAGGCAGACTATTCCCAGGTTTTTCTAAGGGTAAACAAGTCAATTTGGGGACCTGCAACCCACCTCTGCTTTGCAGATATCTCACATACTCAGTGGGTGAGAACAGGTATTTAGGACAACTGTAACTGAGCAGATGCTGAACTGAAACTCCCTGTATTTAAAAGGCAGGTCGTGGCATAGCCACAGCATGTCCTAAACTGTCAGATGGATAACCTGGTTATCCCAGTGAAACACAACTGGTAAGATGAGACATCAGAACTATTAATTTTAGCCTGAAGGTAAATCAATCACAGCCTTGAAATTAAAAGTTCCACTAAAGATACACAAACAAATTACTTAATTGCCAACACAGTTTTGTTTTCATCATACGAGTTTCAGAACCAGAAGCAATTTAGGGCACAGACACTATAACAGAAAACTCTAACAGGGAAATCGTTGAGGGGAGCAAACAAGGATTCACAACTACATCAGTGGTTAATGCAATTTTAACCTAGAATTTTTTGATTTCGGACACAACAGCAGACTTTAAATGAAAGCAGCTTGCTTCTCTTTCTTCCTCTCACTTTCAGTAAGAGAGAACTATTTCAACTTGTAATGCCAACAAAGTGAATTATAGCCCAAATGAACAACAGCAATTAGAAACCTAAGCTTAAAGCAGCTGGTTTCACCCTCTCAACAAGAAACACACCTGAAGTTGACAGCCTGGAACAGTGCTGCTGCCAAAGATGATCCTGCCTGATGGCCCAGAAAAAGCAGTAAGGGAAAAAGCCCTACAGCATGACTGTCTGGAAAGCAAAAAACAATCTGAAGCTACTTGAGATCACTGTGGAAGAGAGATTCCGAAACTGAGACAGTCTTAGATCATTCTCCTAGATCCCCACTGAAGGGATCTTGCATGTATCTCCATCCAACTGTGATTGAACAATGAAATACTGCCTCTTTTCCTCACCTTCATCCTCCTCTCCAGCCTTTCTTGTTTTTCCTTTGCTTTCGCTTTCTCCAGATTTTTATTCTTGGCCAAGATGATGGACTTATTTTGTGGAATTTTTTTGTTGAGCACTTTTGCCATGGCATCTGCCCAGCCTGCACTTGGGCCAGCTTTGGAGCTTGCCTCTTCAACCTCATTGCCAAGGGCTGCTGTTTCATCTTCATCATCACCATCCAGGGCTTCACCTCCTGATGAGTAGCTGTCCTCTGGAAGCCCTGAGCTTAACTCAGAATCTAGGGATAAAAAAGAGAACAGAAAAAATGTATCAGGAGTTCTGTTTCTAGTAAGGATGCATGACTAGCATAATTTGTTCCATATGTAAATGTTATTTGAGTTCAAGGCCATGTACTGCTTGCTGTCATTGAATTAACTGAATTCCTCAAGCAAGCATACAACACCATAATGAATTTATTAGAAAGAATCCAGTACAAGTGCTTGCTCATCTCATTGATGAAGTGATTTAAGAGGTTGGGTAAAAGGGAAAAGGCAGCTTTGGATATTTATTAGATTAATGAATAATTTGATGTTTAGGAGTGGTAATTTCAAGGAAAAAAAGTATTTTCTGGTTCAACAATTGCATAAATGTACACACACACATACGCACACGGACACACAAAAACTGCGACAGTGACATCTAGTGCTTAAATGCAAACAGCCACACGGATGAACATGGCGGGGGGGGGGGGGAGGGAGGAGGGAAGAGGCATTTCTTGCACGACAGCAAAATCTGCTCACAGAAAATAATGCCAGCAACCCCCTCCTTATTACCTAAGTCTAATGAACACAGAGGGGAGACTGCTTTGTGAAATACAGAATCAAGACAGTTATCAGGTAGTTCAAAAAAACCCAGAGGCACTGAGCTTTTCTGGTCTAAATAACTGCTCAGGTTCTCAACATACAAATAAAACACCCCCAAATTTAAGTTTCTTTACCCTATGCCCCCCTCAAAACAAAACAAGAAGGTAAAATACTGAAATTTGGAATAAACAACAGCAAGACAGGAGAGAGACAGCTATTAATGATATTCCCTGTTACTCAATTGCCCTCTTAATTACTTAACAAACAAACATACACTGTTGCCAGACTAATTCATTACTCTGCTTTCTCCATGTGCCTTTTCAAATCAGCAAAATACTCCAAAGTAGCATCAAAACAGTGGCGTAAGCCAATTTAAAACAAAGCCTCTAATGACCAGGCACATTTAGAGTTTTGGAAAGCATTTAGTTATCAAAAATGGAAATAAACAGGTTATACATTTACCAAACAACTGCACATAAAGTAGGTGCATCACCACATTCCATTTTCTACACGTGAACTAATTTGGCTAGTTTTCACCCCCAGACCTTGTCCATGCTAGAAGATTGCTATCTCAATTTTAAACAAGGAATTAACCCCTACTTATGACTTTTTATACATACAGTAGCCAACAGCTACCAAAAGCCTAAACCAGAATTCCACACACTGTTTAGAATCTTCTGCAGTCAGCCATAAAGATCCATCAGACTTATAAAGACGAAAACTGCAAAAGCATGTGTTAAGTCTCCCTTACCTAACACTTTCTGTTAACAAAATAACAGAATAATACCAACGTTTTGTTTTCAACAATTACAGAAAGATGAACAAGGCTTCAACAACCTGCCTCAACTTACTCTTTAATATGACATCATGAGATAAAGCAGAGGTATTTCAGAGTAACTTAATACTAAATTACATCTATCAGAAAGAAGACCTGGCACTCTTTCAATTGCAAAGATTGAAGCCCAGCACAGATTTACTACAGCAAGTCCTAACTGGGAGGGCAGAAAACATACATACATCCCCATACTTTATTCTTCCAACCTTGCTCAATAACTTCGGTGTAGACACACGCAGTTAAAAACAGCAGTAATTCAGAAATGAGCTGTGAAAGAAGGTCTCATGCAAAAATTCCTCTTGGGTTCAGCTTTGACCCTCAAACCAAACAGAACCACTGCACTGGCTTGGTTCCTCCCAGAATAAAGGAAGGAAAAAAACTACAATTACGTTATATAATTAAGAAGCAATCACAACTAGCTAGGTATATCCCCACAACACATGGAAAGGCAAGAATGAGTGGAGAACCGTGTGATACAGGATAGAGCATGAAAGTGTTTGTGCTCTCCCGGCGGATTACTGTAGGAGGTGTATCTCAAAGCTCTCCCCTGGAGCAGAGAGCAGATCCCCGCCTCGTACAGACGGAGTCAGACATACACAGAGCTCCTCGCACCACGGAACTCGTCCAGCTCTACCCAACCGTGTCATGCTTCCTCCCCTTCAAAGAAAAGGGGTGCTACCCAAGACAAAACACGGCAGCGAAGCTATTTTGGTGGGCCCAGAGAATGAATGAGTCGCTGTTGGTATTCCCAAAGCTAAAGCAGCTAAAAGCAGCTCCGAAACCCTCAGGGCAGGGCAGAGCAAGGCTAGGACCGCATACGACCCCACCAGCACGGCGGAGTCCAGCCTGCAGAGCCTCAGGGCACCCCGTTGCCTCTACCGCACCGCGAAGGGGCTTCGGCAGGCTGCTAGGCCGAGGCCTTCGCTCCCGCTTCCTGCGCCAGCACTATGCCAAGGCTCCGGAGGGGCCCTGGCCCACCAGCGGGCTCGGGAGGGACAGAGAGAAGTGTCAGCCGGGCCGAGCCCACAGCAGGGACCGGGAGGCCTCAGAAGCCCGTCCGAGCAGAAAGGGCCCCAGCCGCCCTCCCGCTGGGTTACCGCTGTCCGCCTGCTCGCCCTCAGCCGCCTCATCTCCACGTGGGGCCGCTGCGGCAGCCGCCATCTTCACCATGGTCCGCCCTCTATCGCATTCCAACCCAACCCCGCCGCGACTCTGCGTTCCGGTTTCAAAGGTTCCGGGCAGGCGGGCAGCAGCGGCGGCGGCTTCCGGTGGAGGGAGCGCTCCCGTAGGAGCGGGACGGAGCCTTAGCGGGCGGGCGGGGGTTTGGTAGTGTTTGTTGCTTAGCAAGTACAGAAATCAGTACGTGCTGAAGCAGGGGCGTCTGCCCGGGCTCCTCCTCACCGTCAGGTACGGGTAGGCGCTGGGCTGCTGCTCCTTCCAGACCCTGCGAGCCTCCTCTCTTGGAGGCTGTTCGGCCTCTGCCACGTTTTGGGGTCACCCCACCCGGGCATGGAGACGTGGCCTCTGTTTTTCATGTCATAGAATCGACTAAGTGGGAAAAGACCTTTAAGAACATCACATTCAACCGCTCCCCAGCACTGCCAAGGCCACCACTAACCCATGTCACTGAGGGCCTCATCTACACGGTGTGAGAGCACTTCCAGGGACGGTGACTCCTGCACTGCCCTGGGCAGTCTGTTCCAGAGCCCGAGTACCCTTCGGGTAAGAAATTGTTCCTCATCTCCATCTAAACCTCTCCGGGCACAGCTTGAGGTCATTACCTCTTGCTCTACTGCTTTTTTACTTGGGAGAAGATTGACTGCCACCTTGCTATAACCTGCTTTCAGGTAGTTGTAGAGAGCAATACAGTCGTCCTTGTTTATTCTGTGGGATTTACTCTGGAGAAGAGACTAAACCACCACAGCTCCCTCAGCTGCTTCTCATCAGACTTGTGCTCCAGAGAAGGCTTGTGACTATCAGCTAAAATGTGGAGGGTACTCCAGCAAAAGCTGAAACTCAGCCAAGCTCAGGCTAGTTATTCTGTTCTACTTTGGGGAGCCACTGTGAACATGCAGTGATAAAAACACATTGGTGGTGTATTTGCTGCAGTTTGAGTGGTGAGAAGAATTTGAAGTTTCACATTCATAGTGCTGATGTCCCCAAGAATACTTGGACAAGCTTTCAAACATAACTTCAGGGTACAAAAGAGGGGAGGGTTTCAACATCGAGAGGAATGAAAAAGTGAGATTATTTTTTGTTGGCTTTTCACTCAGATTATTAAAAAAAAAGTGAACAGAACATTTACTACATCCTTATAAAGATTTACTACTGATGTCACATACTGCTTTGAATACATGTCTTCCCTACACTGGAGACGTTCTCTGAGGTTACTCTCAATCTTTAAGGTTAGGCTGGAAAGTTAATATCTGCGGAACGGATGAGCTCAGGCCTCCCTGAACACTAAAAGGCACATGGGCTCCAGATAGGTGGGTAGGTCATGGACCTGCTGTAAACAATTCTGCTCTTCTTCTGTGTGTCCAAGAGGACATGTTCCACCACAGGATGGGCTGGGATGTTAACTTCCACATGACAATTACTCTGTCCACCTAAATTACACTGATGTGATCCTTAGCATGAGTAAAGTCCCAGAACAATGACTATGCTTTACATTCTTTTACAGATTTTTGATATTAAGAGTTTAGGATGCTAGAAATTTCTGCAAAGTCCTGTTCAATTGATGAACTGAAATCCCTTTCTGTTAATGGTAGTTGGTTTTAGCACTGGGTGTTCAGAAGAGAAAACTATCCTCCATGTATAGGGGGAAAAAAAAAGAACAAAAGAAAAAAAAAGAAAAATCATAGAATCATAGAATAGTTAGGGTTGGAAAGGACCTTATGATCATCAAAAAAAAAAAAGGAAAAAAAAAATCCTAGGTTAGAGAATTTCTCATCTGTGTAACACATTTCTGTCACTTCACAGCTATTAAATGGACACACAGATTTTAAGGCCAGACTCTACCAGTCATCTAGTTACTCACTTTGATGCATCTGCAAGAACTACATCTTGAAAAAAACATCACCTAGAACACCAAAATTGTAAAAGAAGCAAATTTTCTTACACAACTTCTTACCTAAAAGCACTCAAATAAAACCTTAGTTATCAATAACTGCTGTTACTATATAATTAAATGTGCTGTAGGCAGAAGCTCCAGGATTCCTTGGAGCCCAAAAGGTGCAGTACAAAGAACCTTGGACATTGAAATGCATGTCTATGGATATGAGTACTGCTAGTAATGTATCTGAGAAGATTTGCCCAAAATACTTCCTGGCTTAGGTCATAATCATTAAGCATGATCATATGGATGAAACACCTGACCCCTCTGTACCTTCTTTGACACCTTAGAGAGCCTGTATGCATAAACATGTATTAAAAGAAGGAATGGTGGCTCATGCTGTAAATGAGGCACAAGGCAATGCTGTACATAGGTATTAATGATCTCAGATTGGTGGTTTAAGTGACTTTGTTGGTTTTTATTCTCAATTATCATATGGTGGTGCGTCAGGGAAAAAAAAAACCAAACCAGTTCCCCCCCCCCCCCCCAAAAAAAAAGTAAAAACAACAAATGAAAGAAAAATAAAAACTAAAAAAGAAAAAGTAAAAAACCGCCAAAAAAAAAACAAAAACCAAACCTACAGGAGAAGAATGTTCCATGTGAGGTATTTGTCACTATTTTGCAGGTTTTAAAAGCATTAAAATGCTACTTTTTACACCTGTATTTTTGTAACTAAAAACTTAATTTGTTGTTGTTACCCTGCAGTCAGTGACCTGTGTCTTTGTACTTCTGACACTCCTTTTTTTTTGCTATCCTAAGGATAGCAAATTCCTTTTGCTACCTCAGTATCAGGTATAAAAATTAGAAGTTGCAGTAAGGTCAGAAAAGAGCCACAAATACTATTATATGGCTGGTTTCCTGGTTTCACAAGGAAAGGAGCTATTAGGAAAGACTTTCAGTCTAATTCATTGTCACAAGCAAAGAGAAAAACGTGGGACTCTGCTATGATCTGCAGAGTAAGAAGGAAACCATAAACATCCCCATGATGTTAATGGAGAAGCCTAAGCTTTACAGGAGACATAATTCCTAGTGTTTTACACTGTAAGGCTCAACTCCTAAGGTGTCTGCCAATAATAAGCACTAACCATTTGGTCAAGTCTGCTGTGTGATGATACCATGATGCATCACCATTTGCTTGGCATCATTCGTCTCTGAATCACATTGCATTGGAAGAGATGTTGCTAGAAGGACTGCATAGACAAAAAAGTTCTTCCAGCATAGTAGTTACAGTCCTTGTTACCTAGTACACACACCTTATTGAACATGTCTTACTCTTGATAGCATATTTGTCTCAGAAGTATGTCAAAATCTTCAGCTTAAGTCCTGTAATGGGTTCCAATAAATGACAGTTCTGAACCTTCTTCCCTCAGACTGAATTAAGAGGTTCCATCTCTGATAACATACTTGTGCCCACAAGCATTATCCCAAAGCATTTGTCAGCAAATTTTTTTTTGCCAAACCTCATTTCAAATGACTGTCATTGCCTCTCATCAATCTGTTCTGAATGTTTTTCTGTATTGAAATTATACTCTGAGGAGCGCTGGAGACAGAGCCACCCTGCAAAATCTTTCCAGTGTAGGCAAAGCAGCAGTTACCTCTCACTGTATCATTGTCAGCAGTGTCTGAAGAGCAGCAGAGGCACAAGCTGGCTTTCTGCCTGTACAGGTCTGTAGTAAAACCATGGCTAATGACACAGTGCATGAAACTTTGATCTGTGGATACAGCAGAGCTGACGTCTGAAAACCAAGCTGTGAAAAGGGTGGCACAGGAATTTGCAATCCTTTTGTTAAGTTTTTAAATGTGTTAATTCTTTATTTTTTATTTTTTTTAAATATCTACAATACTGGAACACAGCTCAGTTGAAGTGGGTTACTCATTACAAAAATAGCAGAAGCAAAATGAAGACAAAACTTTTCTTTGGTTTCTCCTTGGAGTGGTACAGCTTCTCTGTCCTGGTCTGTTCTAGAGTTACAGTTCCAATAAAGGCTGAAACCCAAGCCAATATATAATCAAGCCAGTATATAATCTCACATCAATATGAGAAAATGAAAGAGAGATAAAAGGGCTTAGTGTACCCGGTAGCTAAATCTTAAATTCCTCTCTGTTTCTTCTTCACTAATTCCATTCATTCGTTCAGGCTCAGTAACCATTCTTAGTACTATGTTTCATAGGAGTGAATTATGGTAGTGATTACTTGACATAATAGCATTCAAAACATGAATCAGTAACTGGAATTTTAGGAATTCATGGCAGATTTTCTCCATTTTGTCACTGTCTGAATTGCAATGACTGCACTGCAATACCTGCATTGCAATAGCTGAATTTATCTGAGTCTTTTTTTCCTCTTTTGCTCAGTTTCAATGAGCAAATGAGAAAAAGGGCCTAAGCCCAAATATGTGGTTTCATGTCCTGAGTAGATTTTAAATGTGTAAGGACTTGTGAAGTAGGGCACATGGGAGAACAAAACAGTCAATGAATATTTTATCCAAATCTTTCAGGCTTTAAAGATTTCGTTGTTTTTTTTTTTTTTCATTTACATTATTGTCATATTCATCGTATCTGATAATTTTATGGAATTCTCTAAAGTGGTTAGAGAAGAAAAAAACCTTGCAAATATGAAAAAGCAGAAAAGCTTAGCAAGTTGCCTCCTGCTCTCTGAAAAGTACAGAGGAGACTGTGGCTTGAGCCTGCCTGAAACAGAAAATAATCCAAATGTGCAATACCCATATCTTAATAAAAGCTTCCAATTGTGACAAAAGTACCAGAATAGTGACTAATAGGCAGGGGCAGTTCCTCTAAATTGTGACAATGGAAACTTCTCACCAGTTATAAAGCAACAAACTGCAGAGAAAGATAATTCTTTAAGATGATTAATTAGAAGATGGGTCCTTTACTCCTATAAAAATAGTCTCAGGAAGTTTATATATGCTTTTGTTTAAAAGTTTTATCTGTTACCCACATCTTTTAGAATTATGTCAAATTATTACATCAAATTGTAAAATCTTTCTGAATCTGCTTATTTTTAACAGTCTTCACAAAATCAGGTGAAACCTCACTGCAGTGATTTCACATCACCCATAAAAGTAATTATAAAATGGAGATGCAGAAGCACTAGTCAAAAACAGTGTTGTAGCTACAAAGC